GGGATCCCCCCAGCCCCCTCCGGAGCCCGGGCGCCAAAGGTGCTGCTGCTGCTGCTGCTACTGCTGGCGCATTTCGTCCCAACTCCAGCCAGAGCGGGGGCAAGTTGCACGAGAGACATCAGAGCCACTGTGCTGTGGCGAGGCGAGGGCGCACGCGGAGCGCCGCGGCACCATGCCCGCGATCAAGAAGGAGCGACTGGACAGGGAGGAGATGGCCCTGGCTGCCTTTAACCAGCCCATGGAGACCTTACCTGACTATCTGGCCCCGTTAGCGGCCGCGGCCATCCCGGTGGTGGCCCCCCACCCTCCGGCTTACGACCAGATCTTTGCCCACCACCACCGCGCCTACCTGGGCTTCCCCGAGACCCACCACCCGCACCACCCCCCTCACCACCTCCCCGAGGACCTGATGCTGGAGCGTTTCTCCTCCATCCCGGATTTCCAGCCCTTCTTTGACAACGGCGAGCCGTGCATCGAGGTGGAGTGCGGCGAGAACAAGGCGCTGCTCTACATCCATAAGTTATGCCAGGGCAGCAAGGGACCCTCCATCCGGTACCGGGGAGAGTGGCTCACCCCCAACGAGTTCCAGTTTGTCAGCGGCAGGGAGACCGCCAAGGATTGGAAGCGGAGCATCCGGCACAAAGGTGAGGGGGTGGCTAACATTGCCCCTTGGGGAGGGGGTGCCGCTTGGCACGGCGCACGCCCCCCGCCCCAAAATGCCAGTCCAGCTGAAAGGGGGAGGCGTGTTGCATATGAGCATTGGCACAGGGGTCCCCTTGTCAACCTGCCCCCTCCTTTTAGCGACACGCTCTCCCGCTGCCCTGTCCCCCCCGATCCCCGAGAGGAACGGGAGTTGGGGCTAGTACGGAAAGGAGAGACCGGGAGGGGGAGGGGGTTCACCCTGCTCAAGAAGTTTCCTTCCAAGCGGGCACAGGCTGAACCATCAGGAAAGTTGGGGGAGCTGGGTCCTGTCGCCTGCACGTAGAAATCGCTGCGGAGTAAAGGGGGGGAGTTGGACTCGGCGAGGTTGGGGCACTTTTCTCTGCAGCTGACACAGCCACACGGAGCGAGGGGGACGCGGGCGGCTGCCGTGCGGCGCTTTGACTCTGACAAAGGGTTGTTGCAATGTGAGGGACGGAAGCAGCCCGTAGCCGGCCTGGCTCTGGCGAGAAGGGGCTTATCCGGAGCGGGGGGCGTGCGGGGAAGTAAGTGTGCGTTTGGGGGGCAGGCTTTTTCCTGGGGGAGGGGGTGTGACTGTAAAGTGGCGCGTGTGTAGTTGTGGTTTTCTGCTTCCGTGTGCAGTTGTGGTTGTCTCTGTGTGTGTGGTTATGGTTGTGTGTGTATGTGTGTAAGAGAGGGTAGTTGTGGTTCTCTGTGTAGTTGTGGCGGTTGCCTCTGTTTAGAGCTGTGTGAGCTACAGCGGAGTGTGTGTCTATACGTGATTTGTGTATGTGTGCAACTATGGCTGTTTCTGTAGTTGCCCTGTGTGTGGAGTTGTTTCTATATGTGTACAGTTGTGTGTATCTGTAATAGAGCCGCTCTCTCTCTCTCTCCCTGGGTGTATCGCTGTGTGCATCATTGGGGCTTTTTGTGTGTCCGCGTATCGTTGTTATACGTGTGTGCATAGTAGTGGCTGTCTGTGTGTAGCTTTTTGTTATCTGTCTGTGTGCATCGTTCTGTCTATGTATACTTGTGTCTGTCTTTGTAGTTTGCGTGTAGAACTGTGCCTATGGGTGTGTTCTTTTTGCCTCTGTGTATATAGTAGTATATTTCTGTGTAGTTGTCTGTGTGTCTGTGTATAGTAGTGGCTGTGTAGCTGTCACTCTCTGTGTGTATAGTAGTGCCTGTGTGTAGTTGCCTCTGTGTGTCTGTCACTATGGCTGCCTGTGTGTAGTTGTGAGTGTGTGTAGCATTGGCTGTCGGTGTGTAGTTGTCTGTGTGTGTATAGTAATGCCTGTGTGTAGTTGTCACTCCCTCTGTGTATAGTAGTGTCTGTGTGTAGTTGCCTCTGTGTGTCTGTCACTATGGCTGCCTGAGTATAGTTGTGTGTGTGTGTGTAGCGTTGTGTCTCTGTGTATAGCCCAGTGGCTGCCGGGGCGGGGGGTGAGTTTAGAAGTTGATGCGCGCTGGAAGCAAAAATGTGCCGCCTTGTCACTCCAGTGGCTCTGGAAATGAGGAAAGACGCCTCGGGGGAGGGGGGAGGGTTACTTCCGCAGCTGTGTGGTGCGGGACCCCCTCGGGTCTGCCTGCCAGAGCCGGGGAGCGCGGAGAGGATCCGCCGGTGCGTGGCAGGTGGCGAGCTGAGACCAGGGCGCACGGCGCGGGGAGGGGCGGGGGAGCCGGAGTCAGTGTGACATGTAATTAGCTGAGAGCTGGAGATGTCAGCCCAGGGGTCTGAAGAGCCATTAGGAGGTGACTGACACCTCGCCTTGTTTATTGATCGCCAGAGAAGAGGGGAATCACTCCAGGGGCCGCTCTAATGATTATTATTCTCCTGGTTTTTTCCTCTCTGGGCTCCTGGCTGGCTTCAGGAAGTCTCGGTCCCTCTGGGGTGAGTCCGGAGGACTGAGGTTAAATGGATGGAGGAGGAAAGGGGGAGGGGAGCTGGCTCGGGCTGCCTCGTGGTTGGCATTCAAGATCGCCTCCGTTGCTTTTAATTGCAAATGCAGCCTTCCCCGTGCCCAGAACGGCACCGGGGCGGTGTGCGCGCGGCGGGGGGAGGGGGTGGACATGCAGGTCTGGAGCGCCTGCTGGTTATGTTCATTAGTCATCTCTCCAGACTGCGAGAACATTTTTAACAAGGTTAGAGGGAGGCTAATGAGGGCTGCGCTGGTGGTTCGCTTCCCGATTGCTACAGGGTAGAAAGTTCAATTAAGGTACAAGCATGAGCAATGTCGGGTGGGGAGTGATGGGGAGAGGCAGGGCTCTTGAGTTTGCCGGGAAAGATCCGAGTTGCTTTTTTTCTGCAAAGCCATTTTCTTAAAAAAAAAAAAACCTTGGGCTTTTTCTTTTTCTTCTCCTCTTCTGCATCCAGGGAAAAGTTTGAAGACTCTTATGTCCAAAGGAATCTTACAGGTACATCCTCCAATCTGTGATTGCCCTGGGTGTCGAATTTCGTCTCCAGTGGTAAGATTATTGCTAAAATATGTGTTTTAGTTAAATCTCCTTCCCACCCAGCCCCCTTTTCCTTCGGTAGTCCCAGAATTGTGGTCTTAAAGGGTGAGGGACTGTCAGTCATTGTGCCTTCTCCAAAGTCCTGTTTTGCACTCTGAGAAGAGCTGCAGGCTTGTTAAATGTCAGAGGAAGGGGAGGTTGCAAACTGAGAAGCTGGGCAAAGCCGAGTTTGAACTAAAGGATGTAATTCAGAGTGTGCACGTATGATTGACCGAGGAGAAATATCACAGCTAGGCAAACCTCGGATCATTCATCAGCTCCACACTCCGCCCCATTTTTGTACATTTTGTGGAAGGGTAAAGAGACTAAAACCAAGGAAATTAAAAGTAGTTAGGATTAGAATACTCATGATCGCAAAAGGCAGTGAAATGTAGATAAACTTGAGAAGGATTAACAAACATATCTTGTATTTATCACCTCCTCCCCCACAGGAAAAAAAAACTTTTATAACATTCTCAACAGTGATCATTCTATAGCTCTATTTTGCTTCACCTTAAACATTGAGTTCATGGTGTTTCTGTCCTCTGTCCAGAGTATTTCTTGGAGACTCTTAAAATCTCATTATGTGTGACATCAGGATTTTCATGGAGAAGATGGCGATGTCATAAATAAAGAGTGTTATGGACTCAGAAGTGCGTCTTCCATAGAAAGAAGACATTAAAAATATATGTAGCTGGGAGATGTGTGTGCACTAGAAACATACAGTTAAAATTATTTTCACCGTTTAAAATCCTGTTTGGTTCACAGTACTAACCTAAGTCCTGGTGTTGAATCATTATAACGTAAAACATTTTTATAACGAGAATTGTGGGCACAAATGCTATTTTATATGTTTGTATTTAGAAGGATATTTTTTCTTCTGTTGTCTATATTGAATCATACAGGAACAGTCTCCATGAAAGCAAAGAATATTTTTTTGAAATCACAGAATTTAAATGATTCCTCTGTGTGTATGCATATTATATACATACACGCACACATGCATGTTTAAATGAAAAGTTGTTCAAGTGGACTACAGAAATCAACTATATAATCTCTATTTGTAACTTAACTCTTTGAGTGACTGTCCCCATTTTATAGGAACATCCCATCCCAGATTTTCACACTTGCAGTTTAGTTGCCTTAATTTCTCCCCTAACGTTTACTACCATGAGTAGTGTCATTGACTTCAATGACAACTCACCAAAGTAAGCACTGTGCTGGGTTATTACTGTTTTCAGGTTTAGGCCCTTTGTGTACTTTTTTTATTATTGACCTGAAAGATCAGAGAGGCTCTTTTACTTTGGTCCATGGACCAGTGGTGTCTGCAGAGCACTTGCTAGTGGTCTGTTGAGAACTGGCCAATCACATGATGCTGTCTGCTCTTCATTTCCATCAGCTGTTAAATTGCATTAAAAGACTATAGTAAATACTCTCCTAAGGTTACTTTTCTCCCTAAGCAATTGCTGTTGTTGCCTTGGGGATGCTACCTGATTTTTGTTTGTGTGTGTGTGTGTGTGTGTGTACTCACACGCAGTTGTCTGGGGGATGATCTCCATGTTAAAATGTGGTGTAAACTGAAAAAGTTTGAAAACTCCTGATGATGGAAATAGAATTTCATTTAATATTAGGAAAGGAAAAGAAAATCCTGATATGTCTCCCAGCCCCCTTATCCCAGCGAGATGGAGTAGGAAAGGTTTTGAGAACAGAATACATTTTATTCTGATTCTTTTAGCACAGCAACTGGCTTATATTTTGGTTATTTTTATGTAGCCATCAACATGCTTTTGGCATAATTTTCCTTACTTTGAGTTTAAATCATGATATGAGAAAGCTAACCATTATTTTCGTAAGCTTACTAAAACCACTAAGTCTGTTGTATTGTTCCGGGAAGACAACCTAAAGTTATTAAGAAATGACTGGAGTGAAAGATGGAAATAATTATATTGGATAAATGTATCTTAATAGTAGTCCTTTTAAAACACAATATTATTTTCCTTTTTAGAAATTAAAATGTACAAACAATGCTCTTGCATAATAGGGTCTCAAAGCTTTTGGCAAACTCTTAAGTACTTTAGCCTCACCACACCTCTATGTGGTAGGAAAGTGTCATTATCCTCATTTTAAAGGTGGGGTAGCCAAAATATTAAGATGTTTGAACAGGAGTGCAGTCATTTTCCCCAGCTAGGGAAGAAAACATTTTTGTATCCCTACACAAGACTGAATGGTACAGTGCCACCTGAAAATTGGAATCTAGGTTTCCCTCTGTATTTGATGGTCTGACTTTCATTGACTTCATCTAGAATTCTGGGCACTTAACATCTTGGAAAATTAAGCCCTGGTCCTGCCTTCTCCCAGAACCCCACAGACAAGAGAGGGATGCTGCACAAAGGGCTGCACTTGGTATATCTCATTGTAGGCCTGTCCCTGAAGTGACTTGCCAAAGGTCACGTGTAGGAAAACTGCATCAGAATCTTGGTTTTTGGCTCCCAGGCCTGTGCTTTAACCACAAGGCTATCCTTCCTCCCTTCAAGCAAAACGTCATGGATGCTAGCTTTCCTCTTCTTTCTACAACCCATGAACAAAAAAGTGAGTTACTATCTATGGACCAAATCCTGCTTGCCTTACATGAGAAGTTCCACTGGCACGTTACTCTTCTTTGTCCAGAAAGCATGATTTGCTTCGTTAGCTCTCAAGTGTATACTGGCAGTTCCACATTAAATCTCAAATCCCCTGACAGCACGCAGTGGTGTTTGCATGTACTATATATTCAAAGCAATTATACTAGGAAACAGTTAAGAAACAGGGACACTTTATCTTTCCCTGTCTGATGACTGTGGTTTAAGAATCAATGAGAACAGGGGGCTCTTAGCCATTCTACACAGAACCTACTGTATTTTGTATTGTAGCTACAGCAGGAAAGTGTGAATTCCACAGAAGACTTGGGTCCTTCTGCTATGGTTGCATCAAGAGCATGCAGTGAAACTGTGGGCCTGGTACTATTCAGGGAAGTTTATACTGCTGGGGGTCTGGTGTAAATGAGATTGGCCTATTGGCCACAGGACTAGGCTGGCCAAGCTCATGAATTGTTTGAGAAATGGGGCAGACCCAATGCTTATGGGTGAGTTACCCTCTTTTGTGAGTGCCCCAGGCTGAAAGTGGAATGGCCCAAACATCTGGCCCAGCCCTCACAGCTTCCACAAAGGTTACAGTTAATTTCTCCAACCCCTCTAGCCTGTCAAATCAAATTTGTAACATCGAGGGCTTTAATCAAAACCTATGCTTGGTCTCCGGCCCTGTCTGGGTCTTTTTAGGGGCCAATAAGGAAGGATTGATTTGGAAAGGAAATTGCATCTTGCTACGACGAACCCGATTGGGAAAGCAGCATAAGGAGCTGGAGATTAATACCTTGGGCCTGACTCTCTCACCAGCTGCTGTAAAACCCCCAGAAGCAAAATCCACAGAGTGAAAGACAGGCCCCTTTGCCTGGCACCTTCTTGGGCGGGGTTAGCAGAGGGGAAGATGGCCCGCCGTGGCAAAGGGGCTCCTGCCTTAGAAGGGGGGAGGGGTCGTTTTTTCTCGTGCTCCCTTAACCAGGGTCTGCACAGCTCTGCAAGGAGGGCAGGGCGGGAGCAAGGCCTGGCCTTGCAGGTCCCTTGTTTGATGCCTTCCCAGCGTGGCTCCCCCCAAACTAAGGAACTGGGCTGATGTGACTGCCCCCCCCGCGGAAGCTGCAACAGGGGCTGCCCCCCACGCCTCTGCCTTAGCACGGCAGCAGGTCACACACAACATAGCAAAGAGCACTGCGGCTCGGCTGGGCCCGGCCCAGCAGCGGGCCCGGATCGCTCCAGCTCCCCCGCCCCTCCCCGTCGCAGCTCGTTTGCTGCAGCTGCAGACGGCGGCCGGCGCCTCGGCTAGTTCTGTGACCGACCGCTGGTTTCCTGCGAGGCGGAGGAGGAGCAGCCGCGTCTCGCCTGCTGCTTGGCGTCTCTTCCCTCGGGCGGCGGCAGCGCGGCTCCCTCCCCCCGCGCGTCTCGGAGCCTGGACGGGGCATCAATCAGAGAGCAGCGCCGGCCCAGCCCGTCGGGTAATCAGGCAGAACGGAGGAGGGGCGGGGGGTCACCCCGGGGCTAGGAGAGGCCAGACGGACACGCCCTCCCCCGCTGCCCTGTTTTGTGCAATCATGGGCACTGTGGCGTGCAGGCGGGAAGGGGTCTAGGCGCGGCGTGGAGAGGGTCCCCCGATTCCCCCGCCCCAGCTTTGCAATTAAACGGGGCTGGCGGGGGAGGGGGGGGTGCGGATTTCATGCATCGCTTCTAAATCTGCACCCTCAAGAGGTGTTTGAATTGCATGGTCCTGCCCTGCTTGATTTTCCTTGCTCCCTCTGTGTTCGGGGTTAAGGAAAGCGAACTCCCCACCCCCTGGCAGGGCTGGCCTTAGGGAAAATGGCACCCTGGGTGAACTTGTGTTTTGGTGCCCCGACCCTTGTGGGCAAAGCCCTACTCATTTCCCCTGGTGTCCATGGGCTTCCCAATTCCCACACCTCTGCCCTGTGCTCTCTTTGCTGCTAACCCCTGCATTGTGCCCCCTTTCCCCCTAACTTCTGCACAGTGCTCCCTTTATCCCAACCCCTGCGCTTTTCTGCCACCTGTGCCTCCCAACCCCAGCCCTGCACTTCCAGCATAGCCCTGCCGTGCTGCTCTCCTGCCCAGCATCCTCCACCCCCTTCACCCAGCAACACCCATGCCTGGTTGCCCCTCATCCTCTGGCTATGATGTCCTGGGCATGGTCCCAGTTTGCCCAGCCCCAAGGCCGGCCCTGCCCCCAGGTCCATGCACCCTAAATCTTTGCTGTTCAACTGAGGTTGAATTGAATTGGTCTCTACCCCTGAGTTGGATGCCAAGGCACAGCAATCTTTGCTGGCATGAGACTGGTACGTTGCAGCCTCAGATCTGTAGCCCACAGTTACATGC